AATCTTTAATATCTGTCATGCTAAACTTATATTAAAGTTTTCTTCATTACCCATTTAAGCTGTCTCCAGCCATTATTAATCTACATATGAGATATTTACACATAGCTGTAATTTGACACTGATGGACTAGAGGTAAAGCAGCTAATCAGCAGTGCTCCCTGTCAACTCCTGTCTGACTAAATAGTGGGATTTGACTGTTACTCTTATAGCAAAATTTGGTCTCCAAAGCAAAAAAATGGGACTTGATTGTCATTGTTATAACACAAAGAAATGTCCAAAGTATAGAGTATGTTTTAGAAGAAATGAGCTATTCCCTACTTTGGATCCAAGGATTCACAGTTTATATGTTAACTACTAGGCTGAACAATATTAAATAATGATAAAGAAGAACAAATGGGCGATCTCTATTATGAACCACTATCATCATTCATGATATTTTTTTCTACTTCTGACTAAAGCTGCCTCTGTGAATTTAATAGATTAAACTCAGAATCTCTGTTCAGAATCATTATTTAGTTTTATACTCTATTCTGAAAACTCTTTATGTTTACAGATTCTTCTAGAGTTGTCTAATGGAGAGATGGAAGCTGGACTTGGAATAACCAATGCAATGCACCGAAGGAAACTTCGACTTGCGATTGAAGAACACAGAGATCCATCTTCGTCGTAAGAGTTTCTTAACAATAATTAAAATGGTGAAAAACCAAATCGACTCTATGATTTGATGAGACTTTGTTGGGCTGTTGAAATATGTAGAATCTTTGGAACTCATTTTAGATCTACTTGTTCATACGATTTTATTTATAATTATTATGTTTGAAGTAATGATTGAATTATCGTATAATGTGAAAAGTGATAACAAAATGTCTTTCTAGTCTGATATGTCACTTTTTTTTGTCATCAAATATCATAAATTAAGTATTTAAATAGTTGCCATTGATACTAGATCTTTGCCAATTGTTAATTAACTCTAATAAGTTCAGTAATTAAATAGTTGTTGTCAACACTAGATTTTATGGAATGCTTTTCCAATTTCTATATCTTTTTTCAAGTAATTAACTGTTTTTATTACTACGTGTTAGCTGCTCTCAGTATTCATTTTTTCACAGCTTTTACTGGAGAATATGTTGCTACTTATAAGGTAGTTCTGTTTATACGATGAAATTTATTTTGTTATTTATTTTCAGCTTGAATCCAAAGATCAGCTTTCTCTCTCATATTTGGGTAGTCGAGGAATGGTTACCAAGTTTAGGCTTAGCCATGTACAGTGAGGCTTTCAAGTTTCAACTCGTGGATGGGAGGGTTCTTGACACGCTTAACAAGAAAGATCTTGAAAAATATCTCGGCGTCTCTCGAAAATTCCATCAAGCTAGCCTTGTGCATGCCATTCACTTGCTTCGTATTGTGAAATTTGATAAACAGGTCTGTCTTACACTGGGCACTGTTCTTCATACTACAGATTTAATTCCTTTCTTGTTAAACCAAGGTTCCCTTTTCAATAGAGTAGTCATAGCCTGTTATGTTAAACTTATATTAAAGTTTTTCTTCATTACCCATTCAAGCAGTCTCCAACCATTACTATACCCCTACTTTGGATCCAAGGATTCACAGTTTGTGACCAATCAGTCATTGTCGCCGTACAGCAAACATGGCTGTGAGTATTGTAATAAAACTTGGGCAATATTGCTAGATGCATAATTGTACATTGTGTAGGGTAGTTTTTAAGTTTATTTAACTAACTAGCAAATAACAATAAAAAATCTAATATACAAGCATGAATATATATCCGTTTGCAGGCCATGGATGTAAGTTAACGTTTATATGACAGGCATGATACATGTACCATAGAGATTATCAACTTACTGTTGCAACTGTATTGATGTTGCATATCATTTGTTTATATATATAAGGTTTCTGCCCTTTCAAGCACAATGCTGTTGACAGGATCACAGTATTTTTTAACCCTGCATGATAAATTTGGGCCACATTACACAAACACCTAACCTATTTCTCACAACACAACAAAAATCTTTAACCTGTAGTTTAAAAGATAGCACAAGCTCAGTTTTGAGCATCGGATCGGCAATCATGGCGATGGCTGATGGTAAGTGTCAAATTATAGCCAACACTGCATAATTGTAAATTTTATAGATACTGCAGGCAGAGTAGCCAGCCATCCTTGAAGCTGACTATAAGGAGTGACAAGAAATCCATATTTTGATTCCATGTCTAAAAGCTGTTATATATATAGGAAAGTCAAAAAACAGACTAGCAGCTTGAGGAAATAATATCAACACTATTACTCAAATATTAAATTAATTTGTTTACTTTTTTTTAACAATTTTATTTTCACTTTAAGCTACCTGTCTTTTTTTGAAGATCTCTATTCCCCCTTTTTAAGAGTTACAAGATTATTAAAAATTGTTAACTTGATAATTTAGGTACTGGTTTCTGAAAACTTGCCCCTGAGTATGCCTTTTAGAATTTATCTGCTGTATAAACTCTGTGATCTAGTTTTTATTCATAGACACATTACTATATTTAAGCCATTTTTTAATTTATTAACCTTTGTTGTAAGCTACTATAATCAATTTAAATCTCATGATTTTTGTACAACAGGTAATTGCTGCCCATTCCAGTGTATTCATCATGAATACTTTGTCAGAGAGTAGTTTGTTGTTTTTTATAAAATACTTTTAATGTTTTAGCTGCAGGAACAATAACTGTAAGTAGTAGATTTTGTGTTTTAATACTTTTATGACTAATAAATCCTTATCAGTTTCTCGGTATGAAGTCTGACAGACTTTCATTAGCTTGTCAGTCTACACTTTGAGGTTTAAACTCTGCCCAAGTGTGATGTGTGTAGAGAGTTGTTTAAGCAGATAGTGCCATGCTACAAACCACAGACAAACTACATAATCTATCACCATTGTAGATCATCTAATGAAAGTAAGCTTTGTGAGAGGTAAAAGAAAATTATTCATGGATTTTAACAATTTTAAGACAACCAGGAATCATTACACCTTTTCATGAATTACAATGTGGTCCTTACAATAGGTCTTCTAATCTTTTGACAACAACTGCAAAAGTGTCAGTAAAATCTTACTATTTGGCTAGAGTAGCCAAAGGGTACTTGTTTACTAGTTGCCTTCCCTCTAGCCTAGCTGTTCAAGAATAGCTTTGTAGATTTCTAAGAATTTCTAAAATAAACATACAAGAATAATTTTTTGAGAACACTTTGATTTGTACCTATGGTTATACTCTGGTTATGGGAACTGCAGACTTCTTAGAATAATAAAGGTACACTAGTGATCGAAATGTCGTACTTGTTTTAAAAAATATATATATATATTCTTCTCTACTGTAAAAGTTGTAATAAAACACTGTCACCTGTAACATTCAAACTATGGTAATGGCCCAATTATAAGGCGATGTTTTTGATTACTAATTAGGCCTTAATAAGTTGCCTTATAATCGCGCCCAACCACAGGACCCGTCTCCCTACTCTAGCTGTCGCATTCCTGAATGTCCAAATAGCATCCGTTAACGCATGCGTGCCAGATGTTTGGTCAAGGTCATTGCTAATTCTTGCAACTAATTCACCTGCAGGCTGTTCAGTTATAGTATTGATTTTGTGGACCTAAAAATAAAGGACGTTATGACACCCAATTTTGTTTCTTTCCCATAGTTTATGAAAATGGGGGTCGCCTTATATTTGAGATCGCCCTATAATCGGGCCGGTATGGTATGTAATAACTTCTACATGAAGAGTTGTTAATGCTTATTAATAGAAATTATAATTAATAATAATTAGCCTTAATTATGAGTGATAGACGACACTCAAATTTTCTTATGATCAATCTGCCTTAGATCATCAGTTGAGTTTTCTCACTTTTAGTGCCCATTATCCCAAGAACACCTGGTATGGTTAGGCTTAATTAGTGAATTACCACACGATGAAGCAGAATTGTTGCAAAGCTTCATGTACCATAACTGTCACATTTGGCCAATGTAGTTATTACTATTTAAGAAATTTAATATTGTTTATGAATTCCATCTAATACTGTAAACAACTAAAATACATATTGAATTATCTAATACTTTAAGTACAGAAACACATAAACTTATGTCTTATGTATGTGGAAAGTTCCGGCTAGATCTCCACAAAAAAAATAGCACAGGCTGTGTGTATATGACATCTTGCGCTACAGGACAGTAATTATGTGTGCAGAAATATGCCTCACAAGGAAGAATGTTAAACATTTGTTCACTATTCTGAATGGATCTGTTTTTTTTAACTGCCCATATACCTCTTTCTTTGAATTTCTATCTTTCATGTCTCATCTTTATTGTTTTTTCACAAACTTTTCCATCACAAAAGTGTCAAGCTTTTGAGATCAGATATGAACACAGTGCATCAGTTTTTCCCTCTACTCTGTCATTAAGATTAATGTTGTGTTACCACACTCAGAATTTGGCTTTTTTATCAATCTAGTACTAATACGTTTTGTCCTTTAGGCTAATGAGTTCTTCAAGTTAAAAAGAAAAAGTCTGCCATTATTCAGTATTTCACAGTTTACTTTATTTGGCACCAGGTGGCAGCTCAGACCAGAGGTCTTCGTGGTCACCTCAGAGTAGCCTTTGTGCTAGCCCGTTAACAGAAGACAGCTATAATGAGAAATTAAAACTACTAGAAGAAGCTCAGGAAACTCCAATGGAAAAGTGGAAAGCTGCGACTGTTCTCTCCTGGTTGGAAATCTCCTTGGGAATGCCACAATATGGTGCTAAATGTGCTGAAAACATCAAGAGTGGCAAGGTGAGCTCCCTATTTCTTCTTACAGTTCATTTCTACTGAGTTTTACTCTGACTAGTAAGCAACAAGTCTCAGAAAACTCTCATCCCAAACAGATAGATGGCGTGTTTGCTTGGCAGTTATGGTACTTGGCTTATAATCTGAGGCTCGTGAACTTAAATCCTGTCCCTGAACATTCTCATCCCTTTCAGCCATGAGGGCATTATGATGTAACAGTCAATCCCACTATTCGTTGCTGAAGAGTAGGCCAAAAGTTGGTGATGGATAGTGTTGACTGTCTGCCTTCCCTCTTATCTATCAAATTAGGAATGGCTGACACAATTAGTCCTCGAGTAGCTATGCATGAAATTCAAAAACAAACAAAGATGGTGTGTCACAGTTTGGCTGTTGAAAATAGACACACTTAATCATGGTGATAACCCTTTGAAACCTAATTAGCCTTAAAACACTCCTTCCCTCTCAATAACAGTGAATTGGAAATTGGGTTTTGTTCATGAGGCACTCCTTCTGATTGTGGGAGTAACTCTTTGAAACATAAAGGATTAATCTCAAAACATTTCATCTTTCTTGAAAACAGTGTGTCAGAATTTCAATTTTAGTAATGAAATTTAAAAGTTAAATGATTGGTATTCAGTTACTGTCTTGCATAAATAGTTACCAGAGAAGGTTTAGCCATTAGTAATGTTTTTATTGACCACACCACACTTTCCAGAATCATATTTTAAACTTGTATGAAAAGGGAAACAAGTTGAAGGACAATCACAGAATGGATGCATACTTCACCAGTAGTTTGTTGATAAATACACTGGAACTGTCTATTGTATAAAATACACAGGTCCTGAAGATGAAAGCTTTGAAACGTCTTCCTCTACATAACGCATCGCAGTCTCAAAATGTGAGACACGACATGTGGCAAGTTGACATGAACCGTGGATCATTGGATTTACAGTTGACATGAACCGTGGATCATTGGATTTACAGTTTGACATATTAAAAATCAGGCCACTCCTAACCCCCAAATCTGTGGCTATCCAGTTGCTGCATAACAGAGCATATCTCATTATCACTAGGAAATATTCTCAGTGCTCCTAACCCACACCAAGGGTAATATCGGAACTTCATCACAGTCGAAATACTCTCAACACTGCTCAACCCATACTGACAATGAGTGTCATATGGCAATTTTAGCACAGTTTGAATACTTTCAACACTGTTCAACCCATACCAAGTGTAATATTGGTAACTTTAGCACAGTCAGAATACTCCCAGCACTACTCAACCCATACTGACAATGAGTGCCATATGGCAACTTTGGCACAGTTGGAATACTTCCAGCACTACTGAACTCATACTGACAATGAGTGTCATATGGCAACTTTGGCACAGTTGGAATATTTCCAGCACTACTCAACCCATATTGACAATGAGTGTCATACGGCAACTTTGGCACAGTTGGAATATTTCCAGCACTACTCAACCCATATTGACAATGAGTGTCATACGGCAACTTTGGCACA